TGTTGACCTGGATTGACTTGTTATAGTATGGTCAACCCTAGTTGGGAAAGTGTTAATTAGAGATGTATTGTGCTATAGGGGGACTACAGCTCGGCAGATCGAGTGATTAGCGATTTCAGGTTTACGATTTACCGAGACACGCGAGGTGAGTCTTCTCACTATACTTTACCTTGAGTAGGTAACCAGAGTTATGTGATAGAGTATGTGTATGCTATGTATGTTGTGTGTTGTACTGCATGATTTCTATGTGATTTATGTGGTGCATGTTTATCAGAGCTAGAACCTGAGGGTTCACAGAGTTTGGGTGCACGGACCCACAGAGTTATAGCCTAGAGTGGCTAATATGTGTTATATGTGGTATTTTGGGGAACTCACTAAGCCTTGTGCTTACAGTGTTGATGTTATTTGTTTCAGGTACTAGTGACGACCGCGGGAAGGCGCCGACTTGATCCGTATACACACACGTTCGGAGCTTGATATTATGATCTTGGGATTTTGTACTGTTTTGTTGGATAATTAAAATGGTTGTTTTTATGAACATCGATGGAATTATGTTTTATAAAAAAAATTGAAAAATTTTGTTTGAAATTTTCGGTGTTACAAATTGGTATCAGAGCCTTGGTTTGAGGGATTCGGGTACACCTTCGGGGGTATTTGAACTCAAACTGAGGAACTGAAGAGATATTTTCAAAATAAAAACCAAAATCTTCTAAGAGTAAAAGATTTTCCAGGAAGAAACGTGTGTACGATCAGTCAGCGCCCGAACGGTGAATTCCCAAAATACCTTTATATTATGTGATAATTATTATTAATGTGATGTGTTTGCATGCTAGAGTAGGCTAGGTATTGCTAATAGGACTAGAGTGGCCTGTTTTGTGATGCCTTAGCCTAGGGAGGGGTGAGCTGCTATGAGATGCTGAGAGTAATTAGGTAGCAGCTAGGGCTTTGTGTGAGATCTATTTCAAAGTGATTTAAGTATAATAGAGTACTTGGGGATTGGGGTCCGAAGAGAAAGATTTGGGGTGTGTACTGAGACGGTGCGGACAGTAGTATTGGGCCCGTACTACTGAAAGCACCGGTGCGGTACACAGTCCAAATAAGAATCTTGGGATACCAAGAATCAAGGAGGGGTGAATTGTCGAATGTAAGGGTGTTCGAGTGAATTCTAATTTTCGCATGTTGTATTTCAGAGGTTGATCATGGTGAGGACACGTCACATGCCGGAGGATGCCAGAGCTAGTGATGAGGAGATTCGACAGATCATTCATGAGGAGGTGGTTGCGGTCATCAGAGCTGAGATACCAGAGATGTTCGGGTCTATTAAGACCGCATTGATTAAGACATTTGACGAGCGCTATGCCGCTCTTTCTGAGGTTGCTGTTGCAGCGGCTACCGCAGCGATTGCTGCGGCAAGACCCCAGGGAGGTGATGCGACATTGTTTAGGGAGTTCAGCAACACCAAGCCACCAGAGTTTGATGGTACGCAGGATCCAGTGGCAGCTATGAGGTGGATATCTGATATGGAGGGATGCTTCTTCACTTGCTCGTCCCCTGAGCATTTGAAGGTTCGGTTCGCGCTGAACCAGCTTCGCTTGGGAGCGAAGGAATGGTGGAAGTTTGTGACGGCGCACTTCACACCGACTGAGCTTTCGGCAGTGACCTGGGAGAGGTTCACTACCATGTTCCGAGATGAGTACGTCCCTCGGGTGGAGAGGGAGCGTCTGGCACAGGAGTTTCTGACCCTCAAGCAGGGTACCGAGTCAGTTACAGCGATTACGAGGAAGTTTCATGAGAGGGCGATGTTCTGCCCTGAGCACGTGTCCACCGAGCAGGCACGTATGAGCCGTTACCTGAGCATTCTGAGACGGGATATTCGGGAGTTCACTGCGAACTCCTCGTATCGGACATTTGCCGAGCTTCAGGTAAATGCTCGGAAGAGGGAGATTGAGCTTGAGACTCAGGCCAGGGAGGAGGCGGAGTCTCTGGGGAGGGATCGGCGGCCGGCACAGTCCCAGCCGGCAGCCAAGCGGGCCAAGCCCACTGATCCCAGACCCGGGAGCCAGAAGGGCCGCACTTGTGGAAAGTGCGGCAAGCGTCACGATGGAGTCTGTCGAGCAGGGTCTTGCTACAAATGTGGCAAGGAGGGGCATATGGCCAAGGACTGCCCCAAGGGATTTGCGGTGTGCTTCCACTGCAACCAGACCGGACACCGGAAGGCAGAGTGTCCGCTGTTGCGCGGAGCATCTCAAGGGTCTGCTCCCGCCGCCATCAGAGCTACTGCTACAGAGAGTCGGCCCGTGAAGGCCGAGGCACCGAGGGCTCGGGGGAGAGCCTTTCAGCTGACTGCGGAAGAGGTCCGCGCTGCACCCGACGTTGTGGCTGGTACGCTTCCTTTTTATTATTTATTTATGGTGTTGAGATATTATGCTTATATTATGCTATGCATAGGTACCTTCCTTGTGAATTCTGTACCTGCTTTAGTGTTATTTGACTCGGGTGC